ATATTTATAATTTCGCATGTGTTAAAAGAAACTTGTTGAAGCACATCACCCAATAGTATATATATGGAGATTTTTTAATCTGAAGTAAGATTAATGATAACGGAGTTTGATTTTATTTTCTTTAAAGTAAAAGAGGATGTAGAATATTCGAAGTATATAAACCGTCGGGAGAACAGTTTTTGGTCGTTTGGGATTGTGAATACTGTTAATATAATTGAGTGATTCATTCGTTTGTATTTATTGAGGACATTCATAAATTGGAGTTAGTTGTTGTTCGGCATGGAGAAACGTCATTGTCTTGTTCTTGAATGGGGTAGGAATTTCATATCACTGAGCAAAATATATACAGACCAGTTTGAAATTCACGAAGTGAGTGGTACTATTAATATACCTTAATAATAATAATAATTTAAAACTAGATGTGTCAGAGAAGTTTATCCAAAGGATAGTGACGTGAAGGACTCCTACCACTTTGCTTGACTATATATCCACTTCACTGACAACTATATTGATTTTCCGCCATTAACGAATCTCTTGAACTGGCAAGTTTCATGAAGATTTTGGCCTAACATTTATAAAACTAGAATCAACAAGACCTATATTTCAGATTAAAGTCTAATAAAATCAGCAGGTTCTTAATGAAATACAGAGGAATCGGTGTACCTTCCGCATGCATCAATTCACATTCTCATATAGTTGAGGAATCCTTTTTTTTTTTTTTTGTCTTTTGCTATTAAACCGACATATATGCAGGAAGTTATATTATATTAGTCTGATTAATTTAAATTAAGCTAAGTAGTTACATATATTCAAAGCTGAAATATGATGCCACTAATTAGGTTAAAATAATCCCTAACTAGCTTTATGGAGGCTTGTTAGTTTGGAAAGGAATCAATTTTAATTAGACATCAATTATCAAGATCAAATTTTTCATTAAAGTTTTTCTCAAAATCGTTTCATATCAATTTGTTCTTCATTCGAGAGATCAAATGGACAATATAATATGTGACTCCCAACACCCATCGATCCTTCACATATGGTTAATATGAGTCGGGACACGCTATATGATCCTGTAAATTATGTTTTAGACACATATAACTAGACTTGTCGTAGCATAATAGATCAGATTCAAAAAAAGGAAAAGAAAAACTCTTTTCAATTTCAGAGTTCAATTTTAAGATAAGTATACATTGTATATCCATTGAAAAATTATTTGATTCTTAAATATTCTATCAGAGGGTGCAAGTTTCATAATTGCTCTTTGACTACTGAAAAAAAAAAAAAGAAATTAAAATTTTACCCTAAAAGAACATCGAATATCATTTTCAACGTAATATCATTCCATAGCTATTGTGCAACAGATCAATCACACCCCCATCACTTCAGTGTGTGTGTGTGTTAGCAAAACACACACGTATATATATAATTGTAGTCGCTAGTCTGGGCAACGTATGCACGCGTGCCCAAAAAAATCACTCAAATATCTAATCGATATTATTACATATAGTTATTTACTTGCCTTACTGGGAGACCAAGCGCTCTTGAAAAAGCCAAGGGGCTCTCACGTCCACATCTATCCATACAGGACATAGAGGTTATACTCTGACACAGTGAAGCTAAAATGATTAGGGCAGAGTCTTTATTTTTTTTTCCTTTTTATGCAGTGAATACATTTAAGGCATCCGATGTTTGCTGGTAACTTTGAGAAGGATAAGGTTGATGGAGCTATACGAGACTGTGTAGTTAGTTGATTAACATCATGTTGTTCGGCATACTAAGGTTTTTTTTTTTTTTGGGGGGGGGGGAGTGGTGTTGAATTATGTGTACGTGTCATTTAGTGGTGAGATTATAGGTAGGGTTTTGAGTTGTTATAGGTATTACAGACAGGCAAGACTTGAGAGGAGTCTTAGGTAAATGTCTTTGTTGCGTAGCACAATGAAGAAGAGACTCAAAAATAATGAGATGGTCTTATGTTGTATTTAGATGCTATGGATTTACACCTAAGATCTTACATGTATGTATGTAGCAGTAATGTTAGGAAGAGGTCAATTTTTTTCTTACCCTAACTAGATTACTCATCTGATAATCCAAATTCTCCTCGTACTATTAGAGGACATGTATATTTCTTCCGGTGGTTTTTATAAACTCCAATTAATCATTTTACATAAATTAAAAAAGTAAGTTTAAATTATAGTTACTTCAATTCTTATAAAGTTTTCCTTCTAGTCTCTAATATAGGATCAGTTAGTGGGTTGCATTTTATCTTCAATATAAACCCTTAATCCATTTTAGCTCACACATTTATTATTTTCCTCAAACTAATCTAATTTTACAATCTAATATATAATATAATATTACATAGGAGTATTTTAAAAAAATAAAATCACATATATTATAATTAACTAATTTATCTAACTTCTTTAATATACTCAAAATGCTTTAATAACTTTTATATTAGAGACTGAAGGGAGTATCAAAGTTATTTTTATTAGTTAGAGGGCTGAGTTAGTTAATAAGCTTAATTTATAGCTAGTTAACGATACTAAATAAAAAGAAATTAATACTTTAGACAAAACACGATATTAAGGAACATGTAGAATATCCTCGTTTTAGAGGGGTACTATATAATGCATGGTGAGTCCTATTTAACATGTTAATATGCCAATTAATATATTTGTCTCTTTTGATTTGTATTGGCTGCATTGGAAAGAATTCTTTTCGTAAAGGTTAAAACTATATTATTTAAACTGCTTTAACTCGTTATTATCTTGATGTGTGTGTGTGTATGTGAATCAACTTGGTTTTTGGGGTCAATAATAAAAGGAAATAGGTGGATGAAAGTGAATATGGATGATTGAAGGCGATAATATAGGGGCTGCAAATTTTCACTAGCTAGGTCACCTACCTTAGTGGTCACTATGCCCTACCACAAAAGCATGGCTTTTTCATGGATCGTGTTAGATCATGTGCATTATTTTTCAGCTTGTCTGGCCTAATAAAACAAGCATGTTTCTCTACATATGAAAACGATTAATTAAAGTTGATGGGAACTAAAATCATCTTCACCAATATTAAGTACTTGTTGCTTGAAATCTTGATTGGCGAAAAAGGAACAATGTGTAGATTTTGGAAAGAAGAAAAAGAAACTTAGACATGTAAATAACTTTTTTGGTCTCTGTAAATTTAGCAACCGAGTATACTATTAAGAGAAAGAGTTAAATGGTAAGAATGTTTATGATAGGATTAGATTAAAAATCCATAAACATTTCAATTGTCCAACATCTGTTTTTCTCTCTCTTAATTTCTCATCCACAAGGGATTTATATTGGAACACGATGCAAAAACTTGAATAGGCTTAATTGATTGCAAGGTCATTTTTCGATGGGAAAAACATAAAAACGAGTACATAATTTCCAAGTAAACATATAACAATCAAAATTTAAAAAAATATGAATATATGATGCTATATATCGTCTATAAAAAAAGAAGTTAAGTAGCATTTAACATCCTGAAACATTTTTCTGGTAATACTTACTGCTCTAAACTAATTTTTGATACATCCATTATTCTAAAATATTTTTTTTCTAAAGTAATTTTTGGTCAATCTGGTACTTCAAAATATTTTTCAGTAACATTTACTGTCTTGACTCTTGAGTTTATGGTGCTTATTAATATATTGAGAAAATTACTTTGAAAACAAAATTGCATACAAAAAACTACTTCAGGATATTGATTTTCACTGAAAAGAATACTTTAGAATTTTATTGGAAATTGTTCATTTAACTCAGTGAAAGCTACTAATGAGGCTGTGAAAATTATTGACGCATACTAAAATTTATTGACTCTAGTATGTCTGAAATGATAATTGAAAACAAGAACACAAACGGGTCAGTGATGGAGAGTGACAAAACAACAACAATAAATTAACTCCAATAATAGAAATCGCATGCGATGCAAGGAAGGACATTGGAATAGTTCCAAGACAAAGTTTATTAACTCATATACATTAAATGGAACTCATTTTCATGGTTATTTGTGTCTATATCTATAAAGGTCTTCATTTCTTTTTTCTTTTTTGGCCAACATACAGACGTCTTTTTCTTGTCGAAATTAATTTAGGTCAAAAATGTCTCTGTTGCGTGTAAATATCATCAAACTTGATAAGTAATATTGGTTGGCGGTGTTGTGTTAATTATTGCCTGATTCATAGAATATCGTCGTTCTTTTCTTTTCTTTTCTTTTCTATTGCTTAAAACAAATTCACACCATCCTGAAGAATAAAAGTGAGAGGACGGCATAGATATAACTAAAAAATAGCAAATACATACATTCTTATAAAAACATATTGTATAACAAGAATATGCATTCAAATAACATAAAATAATTATTTTTTCAAGTTTAGAATGAATTAAATTTATAAATTTTAATATATACTCCTCCAGTTCTTAAAAAAAAGACCAATTTTGTAATGTAATTTTTAGTTTTATACAAAAAAATAGTTCTTATATTTAGGACTGGAAGAGTATTATAAATAATAAGGAAATAATTTTTCAGAAGAAGATCATCTTTTGATTTTACTATATTTTTTAAGTAAGAAAATGCTATTTCGGACAGCAAAAGTAAAGAATTTACTGTTACCAAAAAAAAAGTGAGGAATTTGCAAGAAGCTCCAAAGTCCAATAAGGCCATTGAGGCCCATATTTACCTGGGTTCCCTTGTTTGGATTTGTAAGCCCAAAGCTTCTCAAACACTGAGATGTGCCCAAACCAAATGCAAAAAAAAAAAAAACCGTTAGAAACAAACCATAATTTTAAAAATAATTTTATAATATATGAAATAAATATATGAAAAAAAATAATTTCGAAAGTGTTTTTAAAAAAATGTTTTTATTATAAATCAAACACCCTAATTTGAAATATATCAGAGCATGAATGTAGTTAGGAAACACCATGAAATTCATATTTATGGCATTTCCCAGTTGACTGGTGTTCCTAGTAGTTTGATTGAAGCTGCTGTGACCCGTGACGCAGGGCGAATTGCGAAGATGTGATTTAAGTTCATGCACACCATCTCAGCATCTTTGTCTCTGATCATTCACCAGAAGCACAAAACTTCAACTCTCATCGGTCACTTCCTCAATACCGGTAAAACCATCGATCATCTGCGACAAGCCCAAGCTGTATTCCTTAGACAACTCGCAACGCCCCATCACTACCAATACTTTGCGGGTCGTCTTCTCCTCCGAATCCTCCAGTGTCCCGGTGATAATCTTCGTTATGCCTCCCGAGTGTTTGATCAAATACCCCGTTGCAGAAATGGCTTCCTCTGGACCTTGCTCATACGTAAATACGCACTTCATGATCATTTCCACCTTTCCATTTCTCTGTACGCTAGAATGCACGAAAATGGGGTCTCGCCATCTGGGTTCACGTTCTCTTCGGTGCTCAACGCTTGCTGCCGAATTCCAGCTATATCTGTAGGAAAACAAGTGCATGCGAGAGTTTCACAATCTGGGTTATGTAAAAACAAGATTGTGCAAACTGCAATTCTTGATATGTATGCAAAATGTCGGTTAGTATCTGATGCGCGAGCAGTGTTTGATGAAATGAGTGAGAGAGATGTTGTTGCCTGGACAGCTATGATTCGTGCGTATACGAAGGTGGGAATGATGATTGATGCAATGGGGTTGTTTGAGAACATGGAGGAAAGAAATTCATATACTTGGACTACTATGGTTGCTGGGTATGCAAATAATGGAGATATGAAAGCTGCGAGGGAATTGTATGATATGATGAAAGAGAAGGATAAGGTCACGTGGGTTGCAATGATCGCTGGTTATGGGAAATGTGGTGATGTGAAGGAAGCAAGAAGGGTGTTTGACGATATACCGGTGCCGGATGCCTCAAGTTTTGCAGCAATGGTGGCTTGTTATGCCCAAAATGGTTTTGTAAAGGAAGCTATTATGATGTATAGCAACATGAGAGAAGGAAAGATTCGAATCACTGATGTGGCTATGGTGGGAGCTATATCAGCTTGTGCACAACTTAGAGATGTTCATTTGTCAAGGACATTCTCTGACCAACTTGAGGACGATTGCTGTGGTAAGTGATACACGCCTCTATTAAAACCTTTCAATTTGATATTGTTAATTAGGAATCAATTATGGATTTGTATAAAGCCTTTCTAACCAAGGGTTTCTACAAGCATATTGGAATAAGATTTTTGTTGGTTCATCTTATGCTAATGAATAGGCAACTAGTCAATTGTAATATTTATTTTCTTCTCGTGAATATTAATTATAAATTACATGACTTCCTTGAAGTTTTTTGAAAATTACATGAATTTCTTCATTTTTTTTCCACAAAAATCTTCATTAAGAATAAAGGGTAAATCATACTCGACTCTCCCTATTAAAGTCTTTTTAAGTTTTGTTGAAATTATACGTACTTTAAAAAGGAACGGAAAGTTTTGTAATTATAATGAACTTGAGAAGAGAGTTTATAATTTTCTTTGTTATAGATATAGATATAGATATCTAGGTTTTGCTAATAGAGAAAAGAAGGTTTATGTAATTTTTAACAAAATTTATGGATGTTTGCATTACTTTTGAAAATAAAGAAAAATCCATATTATTTCAGCATGGTTAAATGGCCTGTTTAATTTATTGATATTAGCAAACCCGATATTTGGATTGTGCTTTGCTTTTACTCATTCGTTCATTTATTTATTTATTTGGTTCTGCACAAGTAAGTCTTTCTATTAGTTTTTATGTCAAGCGAAAATTGTAAAAAGACAAACACTTCCCTTCCCTCGCATAAAGGTTTGAATTTATTGGAAACTACTTATTCTTTTACTCATTACTTTCATATCAGGTAGGACGCTTGCTATATCAAACGCATTGATCCACATGCACTCAAAGTGTGGAAACATAGACTTGGCCTGGAGGGAATTCAACAGAATGAGCAACAGAGATGTGATCACTTACAGTGCATTAATCACAGCCCTGGCTGAGCATGGAAAATCACAAGATGCATTAGATCTTTTCTTAAAGATGCAAAAAGAAGGAGTCAAGCCAAATCAAATTACATTTGTTGGAGTCCTCAATGCATGTAGTCATGCTGGTCTTGTTGAAAAAGGGTGTATGTATTTCAAGCAGATGACATGCTCATTTGGAATTAAGCCTTTATCTGAACACTATTCTTGCATGGTTGATCTGCTTGGGAGAGCCGGGCAACTGGAAAGGGCATGCAATCTCATACAGGAGAGTGCTAGAGATGATGCAACAGCTTGGGGTTCTTTGTTAGGGGCTTGTAGGGTTCATGGTGACGCGGAGCTGGGTGAGATTGCAGCCAGACGTCTCTTCGAAATTGACCCAAATGATTCTGGAAATTATGTTATTTTAGCAAATACTTATGCATCGAAGGACAGGTGGGATGATGTGGAAAAAGTTAAGAAGATGATGAGTGAAAAGAGAATGATAAAGCCTCCAGGTTGTAGTTGGATTTAGAGAAATATATCATACCATGCTCTCCCAGTACTATTTGAACTGAAGCGTAACAGGCCCAGCAGAAAGATTCAAAAGGAACTTACAAACAAGAAACTAAGATAAATTGAATATTTGCTCTGAATGGTTTGAAACTTGAAAAATAGATCAAACCCAGAATTGTGTCAAAGTGGCTAATCAATGAACGAGTCCCGATTTCTTCCCTCTATCTTTATTATCCTTTCAGGTCAGATGCCCACTTCATAGATTTAAGTCATAACAATCACCAGATAAGCAAAAATAACAACAGAAAACCAAACAAAAATACAACAAATGCATGGGTGGCAAAAGCCTATGTGCTTCCCTTAGCATGCGCCCAGGAGGATACAATGCTCTTCATAATAGGAACCTTCAGAATTCAATGACCTTAGAAGTTTCTGATTTTGAATATCAACCTGTGGTCCTCCCTCCCACCCATCTCACTGACAATGTAGTACAGCGTAGCGTTGCAATTATGTCTTCAGGGGGGCCTTCTTCTCTCTGTCAGATATCCGAGCAGGCGCTGTAGAATGTGATTTGAATCGGCCCCTTCCTCCCTCCTCTTTTTCCTGCAGGAATATTAATCGCATCCAGCAGCTCATTGTCAGGATTCTACTGTGTTCCACTCGTAGCAAGAAAAGGAAAATAGAGTTTTATCATATGGGTTCAGCTGAAATCAATTTTGCTGGAAGGATGATATAGAAATGTATGCCAATCATACTACAGAAAACAAGTTGAGGGCAGTTTTCCTGACCTTTTTCTTAACAATTTGAACCACATCCTCATCTTGAAGAAGATGACCAAGGCCACAATGTTGAGGATAGTGCCTCGCACTTGCACCCCATACTAAAACATACTTGACGTCCTTGATTAAACTTCTGTGTATGTGGTTGCAGAAATCCTCTACAGTGCAGCCACCTCTATCCTGCATTAATTTACAAGAGTAAGATCATCAAGGAAGGATTAAAGACATAAAGAACCAAATATTATTGACAGATCTATGAAATATGTTAAAAGATCAACATACTGCAGAAAGGACCACAGGATCAGAGAAATCAGGCTGCTGGCCTTGTGGCTTTGTGTAAACTCTAACCAGACCCATTTCCTCCCACATCCTTGAAAGCAGTCTATCAAAGTTCAGCTGTATATGAAGACATGAAATTTAGCCGCAATGACAAATATCAAACAATTAAAAACAAAAAAGAATCCGATGTTTTACGTGACAGAATAACCAATTAAACAGGCCAAAAGAACTAAAACTATACGAGGTCTTGTATTGTGCTGCCAAAATATACATCACAGCATAGTTCCCCACAAATAATCAATCAGTGATATGGTTTGTTCAGTATTTATGGAACCCACCTTCAGATTGCAACTAATGACAACAGAATTAGGCTGGCGGGCTAGTCTGTCCACATCATCAATACCAATAACATCAATCTTGTTGTAGACATATATACACTTCATATATTTACGGTTCCCTTCAATAACATCTATGAGGTCATCCACAGTAGCATCCTCACGGAAAAGAACCTGAAATAAATTTTGTCATCCCTTCATGTGGATAGGTGGTAAGAAAGAGAAAAAAGACACTGAATTACATATTTTACATATTGTGCATATAGCAAAATACAGAAATTATCAAGAGGGCATTGCGCTATCAATATGCCGTTAAGACAAGAAATACCACAACTAGATTGGCAGACTAACTGTTTAATCTTTATCCATCAGAATGCTACTTTGATCTATTTTCCATAATTACAGCTTTCATCATCATGTTACTTGACTCCTACATACAGAGACATGAATTGAAGACGCATAATACCAAGGGTCAGATATACAGATGCACCATATTAATGAGTTAGGAATAGATCAGAAAATGACTTGACTGCTAGTTATTAGAGAAGCTTGGCGCAGGTAAAGTGTGCAAACAGAATAAATAAGCGAATTGCAGAAGAAAAGATACATTTTACTCCCTTCTATCATAAACACTAATAGCCTGATACAGAAAAAACACGTATTTCATTACCGAAGGCCAGTAAAAGGGAAAAAAAGAAAAAAAAGAAAAAGAAAGGGACATGTACTTTTAATCAATCATTCAGTCTTTTCCAACCTTCTGAAAAGAAAAGCAATGGTCGAGGAAATGATGATTTACACAATGAAACTGGTCAAGGATTTTATAGCAGTAGAGGCAATCACCCACCCCGTTATATTTGGACAAACTACGGAATTGACAATTATACTTATTTATAATTTCCATTAAAATAACTACAACTAACAACTCCATAATTCTAAATCCCATATTTGTATGCCCTTTGAATTGAAATGCACACTGGCATTTCGCATATACCTCTGCATTGTGAATTTTATATTCATGCAGAATCTGATAACACAGCTTCTCATCCACATGAGTCAAAGGTGTAGTGCTGTTGAATGAAATGCCCCCAGTCTTTTTCTTTTTAAAATATATCTGCCAAAAGGACGAATCCAAAGAAATGGTAGATGAGAAGTAGATAAAGGCTACCCAAGAATTTAAAATGAAAAACAAACCATGTCTTGAATCATCTATATCGTAAGGGCACAAACTCACCTGGGGAGGTCTCTTGTTTAATCGTAAGCCAACAGCTTCCAGCTCCCTTGTCAATATTTGTCTATGACCCTCACTCTGGAAGATATTTAGGGGAAAACTCACTTTATGCCAAGATTAGAATTTTTTTCAATTCACAGTAAAATAAATACTACAATTAATACATGCATACAGAATGTGGAGCAATTCCCCAAGCAATCTGTAAAAAATAATTGAGGTCCTTGAAAAATTTCTAAGGTTTCTCATGCAAAATCGTTCTAACATAGATTGATGATCATATAAGACTTACTCTTCATCTATTCCATGAGGAAAAGCTCCGAAGTTACCCAAATTTTTTAAAAAATTTCATTGGTATGGTTTAAAACCAATTTCAAACTAAAACCAAATCCTAGAAAAAGATGAACAATGGGAAGAAATAGCACCCCTTGCAATCTAACTTCACAGCCATGGAATCATCCATCAATTATTGCGATTTCCAAAAGGTAAAATAGGCAACTATTAAGTAGAAGAGAAGTGCTGGAGTCATGTGTCTTTATCACTTCATTTCTCTCTTACTTAGCTTGCTTTCCTGATTAGACCACTGCACCTTTGAGTAATTATTGGGATTTTTTTTTTTTTTAATTGACTGAACTGATGGATGGATTGGGAGATTCTTCGTTCCCTACTTCCATATAAATGTTTTTCTGCTACAATGGAAGAATAATAAGTTCCAGAGTGTCTGTCTAAAATTCTGCATAAATGAAGGATTTGAAATGTTCAACTCACATATTTGTTACTTATTACCAAGTGGAGGGGAAAGAAAGTTAAAGGGATAATGAGTAATCATTCTATAACAATAGAGTAACCAGGGTGATGCTTCAAGGTTTAACTCGATTCCCAGGCAGAGAACAATTCTTTAAATACTGCCTAGATTAATGCAAAAATTGACATGTTATTTTATCAAATAGCAATGCAGACATAAGGAATGAGAGAAGGTACACTAGAAAATAGCAGTGCCAACCATTTAAAAGAAAGAAAAAAAAGAAAAGAAAATAACACTTACTTTAGAGGCATCAAGAACCATCAGTACTATGTCAGAAGATTTGGCAACAGCAATAACCTGAGAATATAGACAAAAAAAAATTCTTGTCATTTTAGTAATGCCTAAGTCATTATACCCTAAGTAATCTGTGAAAGGAACTAATCATCAACTTCAGTCAGCGGACATCTATCTTCAATTATCAATTTGTTACGGCAAATGCTGCCCTAAAACTTACTAATGGAAAGAAATATATGACAGCAACAAGCAATTATTGTTTTACCTGCCTCCCACGCCCCTTGCCTTCAGAAGCACCTTCAATAATTCCGGGAAGATCAAGCAGCTGAATTTTAGTATCATTGTAGTTTATGATTCCAGGAATACAGGTCAGCGTTGTGAATTCATAGGATGCAGATTCTGAATGTGTGCCCGTTAACATTGTCAAAAGAGTTGACTTCCCCACACTGTTAATGAAAAGGGAAAGGATAAGAATGTGTACAATTTAGGTATACAATGCCCGGCATCCAAGGGTGTGCATAAATCACACATAGAAGCAGGGTAAAAGCAAAATAATGAAATATTGAACATTAATAATATAATTAATTTCCTAGGAGCTTGGAAAAATGAAAAATGAGTCTTAAGGGAGATAAGTATATGTCAGAGTACAGACCTTGGAAATCCTATGAGTGCAACTCGCCCATGGCCATACTTTGTAACTTCAAATCCCTCTCCACCTCCACTGGAACCCTGTTCCATGATTCGACAAGATAGAAAAATTTACAAGAATATGTACAGATGTATAGTTGGCTATGGTAGACCGAAAATTGAGAAACCTAGGCAAGCTAAAATAAGGTGATATTGTTCACAAAATTCATCCAGTACTCATAATAGAATAATAAAATATTCACAAAACCATCACCACATATCAAGTGAGGACACTTGTTATTATTCTGTCCAGTAAATATGTAAAGCGTAAACCAAAGAAGCACAATGACCGTAACATGAATATTTTTAGCTGAAAAAACCATAGCACAAAATAAATATAAAAGCAGAATACCGGTTGGTCAAAATCAGTAAATGGGGAAACAAATAAATCACTAAGGACACAAAATTCTGTAGCCCTTCCAAGGCTACTAAGAATCCTAATACTCATCTTTTTCCAATTTTTTTTTTTTAATTTAGTACATAATACATGTGTGGAATGATTACAAGTATGTATCAGTGATGCGTGCACAAGATATATGTGCCTATGTCTGTTCTAGCATCATTTATCCTATAAAGCTCTCTAGATGAAATACAGAGCAATGCAAAAGTGGATTAAAAATGAGCCAAAACATTTCTAGCCTGCTTTAATTTTTAATTGGAGGAAATAATCTCATCCAAACAATCAATAGTCTCATGAAAAATGTCAAGGAAACAAAAAAGTTTAAGCAAAAGAGAACATAAACATATTATATGCATAAAACTATGAAAAAAAAGAAAGTAGACTTACATACCTTTGGAGGCTCCAATAATTGTGTCCTTAGTTTGGCTATCTTTGCCTTGAGTTGCCCCAGATGATACTCTGCATGGTTAGAAAATGTAAATTCATTTCTGTACTGGAAGTGTAACGAAGAAATAGGAGATAAACTTAGATTCCTTGATGGCTCTTTCCTTATATTTAATCTATAACTACATATACTCATTTATTTTAGTTATTCAAAAAACATAAATATGTTTCACAAGAGAAGTAGAAGAATGCTTATGAAGATGAGTTGTCATCATTAGTTAAGAGAAGTGTTACCACTTATTCTGAGGACTAATGAAGGATTTACATACCTCCCCTTAAGATTTCTTAACAAATCTAACCTGGAACGTTTAACATAAAATCTGCCAAGATATACTTGGTGCAATACGCTTTATACAAAAATACACTTGTGCCTGACCAGGCTTAGTGCAGTACATGCAAACAAGTGTGGCAACCTTTCAACTAAGTGCTGCGCTAAGAGTCCCCTCTCTTGGCTTTCTGCAGATGCTTGGTGGCCTATGACATATAATCCAATTGAAACTCCCAATGACAAACCCCTCTTAAGAGTGAATTGCTTCATAGTGCCCAATGGTGTCCAACTCAGACGTGATTGGAAGTGTTGTGAAGGAGTGATTTTCATAGTTAGGGATGATCCTTGAGAGTTGCTTGATAACATTGAAGTCAAGTTGCCTTCATGCTACAGGATTGCTCTAGCGAATCAAATAAAAATCTAGATACTTGTAATTGGAATGACTATTCTAGCCAAGGGCACCCCCTCTCCCTTGAAATTGGTTTGGAATTATTGAAGTAAGGCGATTTCGTGCTCCACTTTTCTTTATCCCTCATTTTTAATGCTTCATACTAAAAGGGACCTATGTTCTCAGTCATGGCCACCATGGGAGTAAACGGACAACTCCAACTTCCCTATAAATAGATTCCCTTGTCTTCAAAGGGGCAGACACTTGCAAACTCACACACTTCATCAAGATTTATATCTCTCTGCAACCTTGACACCTTTTCCAGACTTCTCAAATCACTTAAGGACTTCTCTTTCAGTTGGGTTAGGAGGCATTTTCACTTCAACACTAGAATATAAAAAGAGTGATGATCAAATTGTCTTGCTTGAAGGCTTGCTAAAATATTTCATCTTTCCTATATTAAGCTACCCCAAGATAGTGATCCATTTCATGCCGCTGTTTGAACCCCTCGTTCCTCGAACAAAATATACCAATTTACTTGATGTTGTGATTATAACGATCAAATATCTAAGTAATTAAAAAGAACGATGTATATGTAAGAAACACCAACTCAGTACCTGTGGCTTTATTTTTCTGGGTCCGAGCCATCTCGGCCTCGATTTCTTTGATCTTCTCAATGATACCCATTATCCCTGTTTACCAGCGGCCACCTTCCACAGAAGAGACGAATGAGAAAAATGTTAAATTTCGCTAGAAAGCAATGAATACAGGTATATCGAAAACCTTTCAACTTAAGCAGAATTGCGAACACAATAACAAGCCAGCGATTCCACAGCGAGATGTCGCTCTCAGGCAATCTCAAGTCCTTAACAGTTCTGTTTCTTTACTACTTTGTTCCAAGATGGGGTTTAAACCATCAATTACCATGACTGGGAGCCCATATCAAAAAAGTCGTAAACACAAAAGAGGAAAAGAAATCAAAAGGCAAATACATGGTGGTGAAGGGACGGCTCACCTGAACTAGGTTCCCAGCAATGCCAAAACAGAGGATTAGTCTCCGACGATGAGGGTGACAGAGGAAAGAGTGGGGAAGGCTTGCAGGCGTAGGTCTCACAACAGTGGAGCTTGGGAGCCAGTTAGAGGGGGGTGAAATTTCTGAACTAAGTAAAAATAAGTTGAAATAATTATTATTTTGATTATCAATTTCTGAAGAAAAATTAAAAACAAACTCAATGCATATACATATAATATAAATTTTTTTTAAAATTTATATTATTCTTAAGGTATGAATAATTATGTTAATGTTGCCACTCACAGATAAACTTACCTTTTAGGCATGTTTGAGACATTCTTTCTACTAGATATGAGCATTTCTTCTAACTAAAATTTAAATACGGACTCAGGACTCATTCCTTACATTAAACCTAATTATGGTTATTTGAGTAGTAAAAATTTTATTCTTTCTTCTTAATATGTCAAAAAGCAGGGGCCATTTTTATTATTGCTGGGTTATCTTGGGCTTCCTAGCAAAATGCTACTCAAGAAAAATTAGAGAAACAATAATGAGTCTTATATATTTGTATCAAAATTTAAATGAATTGCTCTATTTAGATTATAACTAATAATTAATTTATATTTTTTATATTTTACATTTATTAATATTCACAATATTGATTTAATCAACGAGAATGAAATTTGAGGATGAAAATATAGATCAAAGGTCTTTTCCATGGTTTAACACTCTTAATTTTGATTTGTAGCTTCATAACAATTAATTTGTGAGATGCGTATATTCCTGAGGGGGAAAAAAGAAAATTTTAATTTATTAAAGATGCAATGACTTCTCATAATTTCACACATTCCTTAAATTTGCACTTCATTGACTAAAGTACTGATTTGTCAATGAGATCATTAATTTACAAAGAGAGATGAATAATTTTCATGAGTTTAATAATTTGACAATTTTTCAACCACTTAATTTGCAAGTGACATTCGTTACTTATACAAGTTCACAATTCAAGTCAAAGCACCGGGGGTGAAAGATAGGGGAAACACTTGAGGGTGAAGATTAGGGGAAGTTAATTAGAATACATTATTGGTCCAAACCTTCTTCCTTGTTTGATGACAAATATTACAAGAAGCAATTTACTTCACAAAAATATCATCCATCTTTGTACTTGAGAGAAGATCAAGAATAACTTATATTCAACCACTACAATACTCAGCATATGCGTAACATGGATCGAATATATAACCTCAATGAACGATAATACAAGTTCGGCATGTAGCATTTAGTCCAGCGTAGAATCATGCAGTAAAACCTCTGGAAAACAAGCAACTAAAAGTCCAAAACTATCGATTCTTCAAGCATAGCAACCAGCATGAAAATAAGTTACATCTTTTATCTATTCCTGGTTCTGAAAACTGAAAAATGTGGATTGACAATAGTAATCTAGACAGCAGCAATCTCTATGTTGGCGGGGACTGCGGGCGGTTGCAGGGGCCTAACAATGTAATCTTCTTCCTCCTTAGGTGGATGGATTGTGACAACATCCGGAATAGGTTTAGTTGGTCCTTGCTTGCCCTTGGGATCCCAATCAAGCATAATCTTCACCTTGATACCAAGAACACCCTGCAACAATTACAGGTAGGATTTTCAATCGAAAGATGCAGAAACAAGCTGATTTTAAGCAATCAGTTCCTGAAACTGCAAGAACTTGAAGATCTACTAATTTCTGGGATAAAGCCAACACACAAATATGCTGACCTGTCTCAAAAGCACGTGCCTCACGGCAGAGTCAATATATTCATTGACAGGCTGACCAGAAGATATCATGTATCCGTCCTTGAATTTCATAGATTTGGCACGCTGAGCCCTGAGCTTGCCACTGACAATAACCTGGAGATATTTAACAATTACCAGATTGCATCAGCAGTTCATGTAATCTTAACAAATCCATGTGATCAAATTAGCAGCTGGCTACAGCTACAGCTATGCTCATGGAGAATAAGGTGGAAAAGTGAGGGCAGAACACATGGCATGGCTTTACTGACCTCACAACCTTTGGCCCCACTTTCCATGACAAACCTAAGGACACCATAGCAAGCCCTGGAAAAAAAAAAAACAGAAAACAAAAAGATTGATGTAATAACAAGTAGACTCCCATTGGACATGGATATTAGCAGCTAGACTTTAAAAAAAAAAAAATGGCCAGCAATATCAACAGCAAGATTGCAAACAACACTTCAAAAGATCCAAACGGTAAATTAACACTGACAGTGGTCAATCCAAGCGCCATAGCTAGATATCTCAAACTCAATTGTTCTAAACCCCAGAACTGGACTTGCTGTCAAAAAAAATTCAATGATAAACTCACTAGCATTCCATACCTTCTGACAGCAAGCCCCCCGAGAAGCTTGTAACGCAGAGACTCTGCCTGTGCAATGGCACAGAGCCCTCTGTTATTGACTTTCTCAGCATATAGCTCAACACTGTTCTCAGGAAACTTGAAACGCTTCTGAACAATAGAAGTCAGTTCCCTAATTCTTCTGCCCTTCTCACCTTCGCAAATAAAAGGAAAGTGACACTACATCAGTCATATGGCAACTCCAGTTTAATCAAATAATCACGGCATTTGATCTACAACCATACAGAAAATCTTTTTCCAAATTTGTTAGCAGGCATCAGTCATTAAGCACACCAATTTACATCAACTTTTCTCTCGCACGAATGATAATCTCAATAATTCAGATTCAGATTTCTCCGTTTGGTTGGAGGGGAGGGGGGGGTGACTTTGATATAAAAAGGGCAACTGGATAATAAAATTTCAATAAAGAGAATGTGTAAGATAAAAGAGTGAGAAAAACTAACTAAAATTTTTTAACCCACTTTTCATTTTTTATAAATCTCATTAGAATGGCCCTTCACTCCTGGCCAAAAGAATAGAATGTCCCTTCACTCCCCTCCATTCCCCTCCAACCATAGTTAGAATAATACAAGAGATCCTAATTATTCATCAGAAACATTAAAAAATACACTCATTAACCTCATTGCCTACTACCAAAAAGAAAACTTATTGAGGTTATGAAGCAATCAACACGGCTAAGCGAAAAAAATTAAACAAAAATCCGCCACCATCCGCCATCTCTAGAGTCATTAAACAGACACAAGTATACCGAGAACGTTCTGGGTACGAGTCGCCCTAATGATGATCTCAGTCCGCATGGGGGTAACCCTAACTTCCACACCAGAGTACCCATCCTCTGCAAGCTCTCTAGTCAAAACCTCATTCAGCTCGGCAAAGAAAACTCCATCGGCTACAAACTGAGGAGTACAAATTCGGCGTCACTGACAGTTTTCGAGAAAAACGGCAACTTTTTCATTCGACGAGGGAGAAAGGAGAATTTTTTTACTCACCTTTCGCTTTTTGCTCATTTGGGTCGTCATGTTGGTGAGCTTCTCTGAACTCTGAAGAAAACTGAGCCTTCCCTCTCCGATTAGGCCTGTGAAACCCTAGAAAGATAAAAGACCCGCGGAGGGTTTTGACATGAGAGTTGAACCAATCCAACGGTTGGTCTCGTTTAACAGATTTTTTTTTTTTTATGGACATGATTAAAAGGACTAACCGTGACATTTTCTGGCCCAAAGAGGCAGAGGCTCCTTCCCACAGGGAATAATGTTGTCCATGTGAATCGACATTTTAATATAATTATAATTATAATTATAATTATAAAATCGAACTAAAAATTAATGATTTATTATATTTTGAAACTGGTTATATATTAAGTGATTTATATATTCTGCCCTGGCTTCGGTTTCGTTAACCAAAGGGGAAAATGTTATCAGAAAATTAAAAATAATTATTGAATTTTAAAATTTCAAATTAATATTACTTATTATATCCATAAAGAAAATGACTACAGACAAAAAAAACAAATGACAACATATTTATTTTTGTAGTAATTTCTGATTTAAAATTTTAAAATTCAATGATTTTTTTTGGAGATTTTCTCAAAAGTATATACACAAATAAAAAATTAAAACTTAAAGAAATTAAATTAAAAATTTAAAAATCAATAAATAAAGGATTGGGGAAAATATATGAAAGTTTATGCTACCTAAATGGTACCTTTTGTAATAATCACATATTGATAGGGGTATTTATGGAGTTGTATTGGGTTATCTGTTCTAGCGGGAATGAAACGGTTGGAGGAGGCGTGTCAGTAATGGCGAGTGCTTCATCGCTTTCTTCTACTCTTTTGCTTCAAAATTCTATTAATTTCCCTCCTCAAAACTCAAGAAGACCATTCGATTCCTCTTTCCTATTCAGCAGCGAGAAGGGTTCTATTACTTTGTGTTCTGCAAAGAAGAAAATCAGCTTTGTCGACCAAATTCTTGATTATATTGAAGGTGAATTTTCTACCGACATTGCCGTTTCGTCCAAGCTTCAAGAAATTTTACATTTTCCCTTCGGTTCTTGCGAGTTTTGGCATCAAGGTTTGATTCCTTTTTCATTTTTAGGAGGTCCCAAATTAAGAAAATGGTATGGTGCACCTGATCTTCTTCCTAAAGATGGACCTGCCGCAGGAGATGAGGATGAATATCTGGGTATATGACTTATTAATCCATCGATGATTATTTTTTTATATGTGCCTTAAATTTTTGAGAAGTTACACTTATGGTCCCCTCCTAATACTTTCAAGTCGTGTATTTGTTCCTCAAATAAGAGGAGATACACAATCTGGCGGACTAACCCATAGGAATTATCTATTTTCTCTCAAGCTTTTGTTCTCACACCGTTGTTTGAAAGCAGAAGATGAAGTCAGGGATGCAGTACTTGTGACAGATGGAGATAGTGAGATGGGTCAGGTCTGATAAGACTTTACTTTTTCTTGTTAATTCACAAGTTTTAAACTAGTGCATTATGTAGAAATTTTGAAGTTTTGATCTGGTTATGCCCATGTTGAAGATTAGAAACTTAGAATCACAAGTGGAAAGCAAGCAACTAGTTTATCTATATGGGCAATCTACTTTCTACACACAGTATTTTGTACTTGAGAGGTCTTCACAGTGTAATTATTTTGCAGGATTGATTGAATCAAGCTACTTGCATTAGTTCATCAAGTAACTTATAATTTTTGGATCAACCCTATGTTCATAACTTTTTATTCTGAGTGTATTGCATATGAAATATTGACTGGATTGCTGAAAATGAGTTGTGAGCCATCTTGTTTGCTTAAGCAGATGGTCATACTGTCAATGATTGTGAAAAAAACTCGAGTAAAAGCACTGGTGAAGGATAAGCGGGTTGCACTTGAAGCCTTTGGAAGTTATGTTGAGGTGGATGAAGTTAATCCAAGAAACCACTTGCATATTGCATTGTTGTGATTTGCTTGTTCATTTGTTTCATTTTCTGGGTATTAATTAAGTGATACTTGTTTGTGAAGTCAATGGCTGGAGATACAACTGACAGGCGATTCCTCAAGAAAGCTTTGAGGGGCGTTCGCACAATTATATGCCCAAATGTATGTATATTTTATCTAATTTGGATCATATGAAACTAAAGTGCATTTGAATGTCACACAATGGATGAGCGAATATATGAGACCCACTTCCTCGCTTTTCACCCACTCTTTGTTTTCTTTCTATCTCTTATTTCAGAAGCATTTTACCTGAATAGGCATTTATAAATTGCTTTCCTCAATCACTTTTGGCTATTACGAATCAATCAAAGTGACTAGACACACAAACCAGAAACAACTAAGAAAATCCCCAAAATCCAGAAAAGAAAACAACATCAAGAGTAAGAAAGAAACAAGAGGCAAAAGAAATGCTAGGTCATCACGGCTTAAAAATCACTAACAAATTGGGGTTAGATGTACATGCTATGAGTATGACTGACTAAGAAAAGGGTAAAAGCAAGAAAAGGGCTTTTTCATACCAATTTGTTATACAGAGTTACACAAGAATCAATAACCCTTTTTATGTACCTGAGTGTGTTGATATATCCATGAACGTAGAAATTCATTTAGGACAACTGAACTTTTCAGAATCAAAATATTTAAGCCAAAATAACGGCTGTTTGTGACTGAACTTCTCAACTAAAGCACCTATTTTTTGGTAAATAAATCACATTTTTTACCTCAGTTATTTGTTGGCTGGAATTGCTTACGTTGAGGGCTTTTTTGAATAACTTACTTCTCCTTCATTTTGCTTTAACCTTTCTACCTTATTGTCCGTAATAAATATTGAGACTGGGCCTTGAAACATGTTTCTCAGAAAATGTCAGGATTTTTTTCAGTGTTTTTGTTCGTAATGATGAGACTACGACTGAAAAATATGTTTCTCAGGAAATGCATGTATGTTTTCGTTTCATTCTTCTTCTCAGTAATATGAGACTTGGCCTTAAAACTAATTTCTGGGGGAATGCCTTTATGTTCTGATTATTTTCAGGAGGGTTTTCTTTCTAGTGTTGGGAGCCTACAAGGAGTTACACATATAATCCTCTTATCGCAGGTACTTTTATTTTCAATCCAGATCTTCTACATTCACAAAAGTTAGTACATTTTGTACATTCAGAGAGAGATAAAAAAAAAATAATAATAATAAGATAAGGTTTAAGTCACAATTAATCATACCTTCATGCCGCTTTGTTTCTGAACACATGAATGCATCAATGTAGAGAATCTACAAAGCATTCCTTTGTTGTACAAATTTACAAATTTATCTTTGTTATTCTGTTTTAACAAAGCTGCAGTTGTCTGTTTATAGAGGTAGAAGTGGAATTCAATCTTTGATAAAAAACAATGCAAGGAAATTAGCTGAGCAAGATGAATCAGTATTGGTGAACTTGGGAATCCCTTACACCATAATTAGGGCTGGTCTATTACAAGATATTCCCGGTGGGAAGCAAGGTTTCTCCTTTGAAGAGGTACAGATATTGACATATTCTTTATAATGTACAGAGAAATTTGAAACAGAGAGTTTCTTCAAGTGACAATCAATCTCTCTATTTTGGTGGTTTGTGAAAAGTTTGTGTAATTTATTCATTTTATTTTTTATTTCAAAACCTTTTGATAAACACTCAAGAAACTGTATTTTTTTAAAAAAATCGTTTTTATCATCTTAATCAAGGCTTGATTGACTTAGGATTCATGAGGACAGGGTTGTGCATCTAGAGGAAGTCTGAGCAAAGAAGATGCAGCATTTATTTGTGTAGAGGCATTGGCATGTGTGCCACAATCCGGATTCATATTAGAGGTTGTCAATGGAGAAAACAAGGTTTCGGATTGGAAAGAATGTTTGACTTCATTAATGGAAAAGGCAAATCAGCAACTTCAATGACCTCAACAAACAGTTGTATCTCTAATTTTTCTTATAAATGTGATGGTCCAAGTCTTGTGACAAAAGGGAAAAGTTTTCCTCTTATTGGCTTCTTCTTGTTAGACAAGAATATCTATAATGGAAATATTCTCTTCCTTGTTGGTTTTAGACGAAAAATTAATGAACTTGGAGATATACAAACCATACATATTTTTTGTTAGTCTAAATCTAATCGCTAAAAACGAAAAAATCTAGATTTGGTTTCCGCTTTCATACAGGTAGCTTCTGTTCCCCTCCGGGGGGGATGGGGAAAAAAAAGTAGCTTCTCAATCTTGATCAATCATGAGAGAGAATTAAAGAGAGATTAAGATACTACACTCAATCTTTACTCAAAAGGGCGGGCCAAAAAAGATCATGAATAGGAATAAAGAGGAATAATGAGCACCGTCATCAGAACAAGCTCCATATATATTATATTTCTTTCTTACTCCTAATCGACGGAAAATTAACAAGGTTATAACTCTTATTAAAATAATTTTGGATAAAAGATAAACACAATTGGGGGGGGGGGGTTGTGTGGAAATATATGGAAGTTACACCACCAATCCTATCTCTACCCAATAGGCTAAGTCAAGAAGATTTCAGTCATAACAAGTCTCAACGTAAAGCAAACATGGAGGAGCTCCCCCGTCTCATGATCCCTTGAATGAAACAAATCCTATCCAAAGCTCAGATTGAAACTGTTAGCTGATTCTAGTTCTCTTTTGGTTTACTTTTCCATCAGACTTCAGAGTCCCACTCGAATCCCCTTCAGATGAAGCTTCTCGAGACTTGACACAAGAACTGGAAAGATCAGCATACAGATCAACCACCCTTCTGATGTTGTTATTCAGCTCTCTGATCAACCCCACGTTTCTACTGAGGTTATGTGGCATCTTTGACGAGTGATTTTGATTAATCTCATTGATTAGCAATCTGTTTTGATCCAAAATATCCTGGGCTTCAAGTAAGTTCTTCTGAAACGCCTGAATGATTCTGCTATCTACTTGCATTGCTGTATTATTACTTACATCCCCATAAATGTCACCTTCCATTCCAATTAAAATGTGTGATTCAATCATCAAATGGTTCTGCAGGGAAAACGTAAACAGAGATAAGAGATTTCTTGCTATAATTGCTGAGAGAAAAGCTGTTTACATTGGGCTCAACACGATTTTTTTGTTACGGAAACACTTGCCAACACACATTATATTAGAAGTATTCTTTGGCAGACAACATGCACTTCAATTTTACAGTGAGATCCATCTATAACTTGTTTGCCTGTTATTGACTTTATTAAGTACATCATCGAATTAACCTCAACCCGATCATCCCCTGCCATAAACCTGTGACCTAAGGAACAGTCTCAGGTAGAGAGAGTTTCGATTGGACACAGGCCTCCCAAAGTAACAAAGGTGTGCAAAGGTTTTCTCAAGCCAGAGGGAGATTGGCCCTCTAGATCACACTCCTTTTGGTATATGATCATAAAAGATCTAATTTCATCATATCAAAATAAAAGACACCAGACAGAACAACTTTTGAAGACTTGAAAGCAGGACTCTTCTGCACAGAAAAGAACCTTTTCTTTTGCTAGGCTTCCCAAGTAGCGGGAACTACAGAAGTTATCCAGTATCGGAGAAAACGTTCTCCTCGAACTAAGATAGCCCACAAAAGTGAAGTAGAACAACTTACATTCGTTTCCTGAGCAAATAGCGCCTCTTAATTCTCAAACCGAAGTATCTATTTCAACTTGAGAAAGATAAAGAGGCATTGGGAAGGTGCAGATCGTGAAATCATGATGCGTATCAAGACAAACCATCAATCCAGAAAGCTCACGAGCAAGAGAGAGAAAGAAAAAGTGGAAATGTTTGAATCCACTATTAATTTACCTAGTAAAGATTGCTCCACGGAGCCTCCAGCTGTCGCCAGTAGGCTTTTAAGTCAGCAAAGTGGGGGATTAAAAAAAAAGAAAAAACAGAGAGAGAGAAAGCGAAGTTTCCTGAGGAAGTTAAAAAAAGAATCGAATATCAGATTCCTAATTAGCAACGAGGCCCAGAAGTGATGGAGGAGACAGTATCAAGATAAGAAGCAAAGCGGCAAAGCCTCTCTCTTTCCGACTCCCTCTTTTACGAAGGATGATAGATTTGGAATCCTGGTTTGCTTCACCATCAAGATGTGCACTATTTGCAGTCCACAGTCTAGCGAGACGGATGACGAAGCTAGGCCTAGGCGTGACCGTAAGGCGAGCCATATGATCCTGAGCACCAGCCAGATGTGGGGTTTGAAGGAGGACGCGGAAGACAAATCCTGGCCGTTAGATGGGAATGAGATGGAGTCCTTTTAGTTTTCGGCGATTTGGACTTGAGAGTTTAGGCTGATCATTGCGGGATGTTTAAATGAATACCAGCTATATATTTTTAAAAGTAATTTATGATATATAAAATAGTTTGTTTGAATTTGATTTGTAGAAACTGTTTTTTTAGAAGCATTTTCTTAGTAAGCCAAACACAGACAAAAGATATATATTTTCATCTTTTTGATGAAAAAAGAGATATATTCCTCCGATACTTAATATAGAATATAATTATTAAGTTAATTTTTGTCTTGAATATAAGATTTATTTTGACTAAAAAAAATCCCCCAATCCTTAATATAAAATACATTTAACTAATTAAGTTAATTTGCCAAGCTTATTAAGATTGATGCTTATATTTAATAACTAACAGTACTTAAAAAATACTCTTTCTAGTTTATGCAATCCGCTTAAAGCCATCAACAAAGTATCGTATGATTTCTGACCAAAAGTATCGTGCAATTTGACCCTGAGACTATAAAATATCACAGTTCCTATAATTCGAATCTAAATTATGTCCATTTGATATATTATGTTTCCAATCCGTAGTGTCATCAATCTATTCTGAGGTGGCTTATAAGAGTGCTTTACATGTATTAATTTAAGTCTACTAAGCTTTATATTGGTTTGAAGGTGAATAAGCTTAGTCGTTGTTTTACTGTGCCTTGACGTTATTTTGCCCCGTAACATTTTTCTAGAATTTTGATGTCTCGTGAACGAATCATCAGAAAATTTAAAGATCAGGCCAATCTTTGGATCGTTTTTTAAGTCATAACGATTGTGTTGACCGTTGAATTTTTTTTTTTCCCTTCAATGTTAAATAAAAAAACGCAACAGTTAAGAATTAAGGAAGTAAGAGCACAAAAACAAGTAAATAAATAGTTATTTCAAGGATAAATCACAGCAATCTTCCTATCCAAAATCAAACAAGACTAGAACTAAGATTTAAAACTAAATAGACCGAGTTGACAGCAGATGTAAGCTATTAGAATCAAATAATCCAAATCTTACAATCCCTTAAATTCGATCTCAAGTAAGAACATTTTCATTGCTATAACAAAAAGACTTCCAGAGTTTATTCTTCTCCTCATTGCCGAGAGGATCACACACACAAGTTCAAAATTCAGCAGAGGACATAGTTATGTACAATGAACTATATATTCATTGCTAGCTCCAAGATATAACTGACAAGGTTTTAAAGCTGAAGATCGTCCATGTCTAATTTGAGAAAGATAGTCCTCAGTTCTACTTTAAAGATTTTTCAATATCTATCACGAACCTATATTTCACATCCTTATTTATTACCCTCTGAAGAGCTTCATTTATGTACTCGATTGGAATCACTTCTATGGTTGGGTGAATTTTATTTGCAGCACAGAAATCAATCATCTCCTGCGTTTCTTTTGTGCCACCTGTAACACTTCCAGAGATGGTTCTCATACCTGTCAAAAAGTTCATGCAATTACAGTCCCATCACTTCAAGTTCAGACTACCAAGTTGAACAGAAGTATAAAACTGTGTATTACAACAAATTTTCTAAACATAAAATGTCAACATACCCAGATTAAGGCTTGCGGGGCTTAATTTAATCTCACTTGGAAACCCCACCAACACTAGAACCCCGGAGACCTTCAAAAGTGACATGTAAGGATCAAACGGGTGATCACCAGATGCAGCGTCAATTATGAAGTCGAAAGATTTGGCCAATGCCTGCATAGGAATCATCAACAGATTTCATAGGAATATTTAAAAAAAAAAAAAAGCACAAGTCTACAATCTTATTGATGCCTTAAATGTCAAAGGAGAATTTTATTTGGCAAATACTAAACATGTTTAGTTTTTTACCTTCATCTGCTCTTGGTCAGAGGAAACGACAAAGTTGTCAGCACCAAGCAGACTATAGGCCTTCTCTTTTTTGGACGCACTTGAGCTGAAAATTGTTACATTCAACCCAAAAGCCTTCCCAAATTTTACTGCCATATGACCAAGGCCGCCCAGGCCAATCACTCCTAGAGACTTGCCAGGTTGATTCATCTTGTGGCGCATCATAGGAGAATAGACAGTAAGACCAGCACAAAGCAAAGGAGCTGCTGAAGCCAATGGATAACTTTTGGGTATCAAGAAGCAATACCTGAAATTCAAGACCAGATATAAAATGATCGGTGCAATAATCTCTGCCAATAGGAGGCCAGGTGACACGTGTCAAAACTGAGCTACAACATCAGACATCTCTATAAAGTAGATTGGTTCAAGAAAAATGATGCCAAAATCCATAATAGAGGATGCATAAATAACATATAATAAGTTCACCTTTCATGGACTACTATGTTGCTGGAGTATCCTCCTTTTGTGATCGTGCCATCAACATCAACCCCATTAAAAGTATAAACTGATCCCTTAACACAATGAACTTCTAATCCATCATTACAATATTGGCAATCCTGGCATGAATTCACATAAGTTCCCACTCCAACATGATCCCAACACTGAATCGATGGACGTTGGAACCAACGTTTTGTACAATTCCAGCAATCTCATGTCTGATATGCAAATACATACATATATGTTAGTTTAAGAGGACAGAACAATTATCCATACTGCAAAAGAAGTTGACATACCCAGGTACTAGAGGATATTTTGAGTCACCATGTTTATTCCTTGTCCAAATCACATCGGCATAACAAACTCCACAATGTGTGATCTTTATGAAAACATCATCTTTCCCAAGAGTCCTGAACAATCAACATTTCATATGATCATGGAACCAACACTAGATGCCAAATCCAATGTGACATGAAAAAACAGACTGTAAAAAGAACATGGATCGTATGCTAAACAAAACGACCCCACATACCACAGGTAAAAACATAATAATGGTAATGCAGCAATCTTGCCAAACTCAAAAAAGCAGAATGCAAAGTACATGCCTGCGATTGAATTTGTATGGGGATAGAACTCCAGAGGGATCTCTTGCTGCCCATCCAAGGCAATTTGCAACGGCTTCTTTGGAACTCATCGTATTTCTGCAGCATACATACAATCAACCAGTTATCAGCTTCCGTTCCATAGTCACATGAAACTAACAAAATAAAGATATCCATGTACTTCCCAGTCATCCGACAGGCATTCTAGAGTTGTAGATGACATGACATCGCACAGAGTGAGCACAACAAATGAATTCCCAATATTTTGCAAACAGTATTCAAGGAAAAAATGAAGGGAAAGAAAAACCTCCCTACAGCAAAGAACGAAGATAACAGGAAAAACAATCTTCTTTCCAGCAAGAGGATACGAGATTAAAAAAATCACTTGCATGTCACATTATCTAACGGTAGCTCTTCCCTGACAATAATGCTCCAGCGGCTATTATATTACCTAGAACAATCGATACCACGGTACTTAAAATGGTGGAAGAAGAAGACATTACACGTGAATAAGATATTTAGATTGAACGACACAGCTGCTAGATTCTCAAATCATCTCTATCCAATATTCTCAGGCATATGTCTTAAAGATCAGGTAGATAATGTCAGTTATACACCAAATTACCAAATCACAATGATCGATTACCTCCAGAACGACAGAGTTAATCAGAGACACAGAGCATGTTATTGACTTTATTAAGTACATCATCGAATTAACCTCAACCCGATCATCCCCTGTCATAAGCCTGTGACCTAAGGAACCGTCTCAGGTAGAGAGAGTTTCGATTGGACATAGGCCTCCCAAAGCAACAAAGGTGTGCAAAGGTTCTCAAGCCAGAGGGAGATTGGCCCTCTAGATCACACTCCTTTTGGTATATGATCATAAAAGATCTAATTCTAAGATTCATCATATCAAAAAAAAAAGACACAGACAGAACAACTTTTGAAGACTTGAAAGCAGGACTCTCCTGCACAGAAAGGAACCTTTTCTTTTGCTAGGCTTCCCAAGTAGCGGGAACTACAGCAGTTATCCAGTGTCGGAGAAAACGTTCTCCTCGAACTTAGATAGCCCACAAAAGTGAAGTAAAACTTACATTCGTTTCTGAGCAAATAGCGCCTCTTAATTCTCAAACCGAAGTATCTATTTCAACTTGAGAAAGATAAAGAGGCATTAGGAAGGCGCAGATCATGAAATTATGATGCGTATCAAGACAAGGATTTGGATTCTCTCCATTGCCTTTCTATCCTTTTTCCCTCCACTGTTATTTTTTCTCTTATAATTATTGGATCAAAATTCTAATAATCCAGATTTAACATCTTATAAAAATAATATTATTAAAAAAAATAAATAAATTTAAACTGAATTGTAATAAAAAAAATTAAAAAAAATTTGCTCTATAATAATAGTTATAGTTATGAACTGTTTATATTAGATTTTAACCGTTTAAATTTATTTATCTATTTTTTATCATAATATTTATTTTTATAAAATGTTATAAAATATTAAATGTGGGCCATTGGAGTTTTGATTCAATGGTTGTGAAGAGAAAAAGAAGGTGGTGGAAGGGAAGAGGATGGGAAGGGTAGTGGAGAGAATCCAATTCCGTCGGAGAAGAGAGAGGCTTTGTCGCTTTGCTTCTTATCCTGATACTGTCTTCTCCATCATTTCTGGCCTCGTTGCTAATTAGGAATCGGATATTCGATTCTTTCTTAACTTCTCGGGAAAACTTCGCTTTCTCTCTCTCTCTGTTTTTTCTTTTTTTTAATTCCCCCCCACCTTTCTGACGTAAAAGCCTACTGGCGACAGCTGGAGGCTCTGTGGAGCAATCTTTACCAGGTAAATTAATAGTGGATTCAAAGATTTCTCCTTTCTCTCTCTCTTGCTCATGAGCTTTTTGGATGATGGTTTGTCTTGATGGAATTGGATTCTCTCCACTACCTTTCCCATCCTCTTTCCCTCCACCACCCTCCTTTTCTCTTCACAACCATTGAATCAAAACTCCAATAGTTCAGATTTAATATTTTATAACATTTATAAAAATAAAAATATGATAAAAAATAGATAATAAATTTAAACTGTTAAAATCTAATCTAAACAGTTCATAACTACAAACTGTTATTATAGAGCAAATTTTTTTAATTTTTTTTATTACAATTGTAAACTGTTCAGACCAGATTTTAACAGTTTTAAATTATTTATTTATTTTTTAAAACATTATTTTATAAAATATTAATATGGACCATTATAATTTTGATCCAATAATTATGAAGAGAAAAAAGGATAGTGGAAAGAAAGAGGATAGAAAGGTAGTGAGAGAGAATCAAGTCCTTTTCGAACTCCCTCTTTTACGAAGGATGATAGATTTGGAATCCTGGTTTGCTTCACCATCAAGATGTGCACTATTTGCAGTCCACAGTCTAGTGAGACGGATGACGAAGCTAGAGCTAGGCTAGCGTGACCGTAAGGCGAACCATACGATCCTGAGCACCAGCCAGATGTGGGGTTTGAAGGAGGACGCGGAAGACAAATCCTGGCCGTTAGATCGGAATGAGATGGAATCCTTTTAGTTTTCGGCGATTTGGACTTAGAGTTTAGGCTGATCATTGCGGGATGTTTAAATGAATACCAAGCTATATATTTTTAAAAGTAATTTTATGATATATAAAAAATATGTAAAATAGTTGTTTTAATTTGATTTGTAGAAAACTGTTTTTTAGAAGCATTTTCTTAGTAAGCCAAACACAGACAAAAGATATATATTTTCATCTTTTTGATGAAAAAAAGAATATACTCCTCCGATACTTAATATAATATAATTATTAAATTAATTTTGGTCTTGAATATAAGATTTATTTTAGCTAAAAATATCCCTCGGTCCTTAATATAAAATACATTTAACTAATTAAGTTAATTTGCCAAGCTTATTAAGATTGATGTTTATATTTAATACCTAACAGTACTAAAAAAATACTCTTTCTAGTTTATGCAATCCGTTTAAAGCCATCAACAAAGATCAGGCCAATCTTTGGATCGTTTTTTAAGTCATAACGATTGTGTTGACGGTTGAATATTTTTTTCCTTCAATGTTAAATAAAAAATCGCAACAGTTAGGAATTAAGGAAGTAAGAACACAAAAACAAGTAAATAAATAGTTATTTCAAGGAAATCACAGTAATCTTCCTATCCAAATCAAATAAGACTAGAACTAAGATTTAAAACTAAATAGACCGAGTTGACAGCAGATGTAAGCCAATAATCCAAATTTTACAATCCCTTAAATTCGATCTCAAGTAAGAACATTTTCATTGCTATCACAAAAAGGCTTCCAGAGTTTATTCTTCTCCTCATTGCCGAGAGGATCACACACACAAGTTCAAAATTCAGCAGAGGACATAGTTATGTACAATGAACTATATATTCATTGCTAGCTCCAAGATATAACTGACAAGGTTTTAAAGCTGAAGATCGTCCATGTCTAATTTGAGAAAGATAGTCCTCAGTTTACTTTAAAGATTTTTCAATATCTATCACGAACCTATATTTCACATCCTTATTTATTACCCTCTGAAGAGCTTCATTTATGTACTCGATTGGAATCACTTCTATGGTTGGGTGAATTTTATTTGCAGCACAGAAATCAATCATCTCCTGCGTTTCTTTTGTGCCACCTGTAACACTTCCAGAGATGGTTCTCATACCTGTCAAAAAGTTCATGCAATTACAGTCCCATCACTTCAAGTTCAGACTACCAAGTTGAACAGAAGTATAAAACTGTGTATTACAACAAATTTTCTAAACATAAAATGTCAACATACCCAGATTAAGGCTTGCGGGGCTTAATTTAATCTCACTTGGAACCCCACCAACACTAGAACCCCGGAGACCTTCAAAAGTGACATGTAAGGATCAAACGGGTGATCACCAGATGCAGCGTCAATTATGAAGTCGAAAGATTTGGCAATGCCTGCATAGGAATCACCACAGATTTCATAGGAATATTAAAAAAAAAAAAAAAAAAAAGCACAAGTCTACAATCTTATTGATGCCTTAAATGTCAAAGGAGAATTTTATTTGGCAAATACTAAACATGTTTAGTTTCTTACCTTCATCTGCTCTTGGTCAGAGGAAACGACAAAGTTGTCAGCACCAAGCAGACTATAGGCCTCCTCTTTTTTGGACGCACTTGAGCTGAAAATTGTTACATTCAACCCAAAAGCCTTCCCAAATTTTACTGCCATATGACCAAGGCCGCCCAGGCCAATCACTCCTAGAGACTTGCCAGGTTGATTCATCTTGTGGCGCATCATAGGAGAATAGACAGTAAGACCAGCACAAAGCAAAGGAGTCCCTGAACAATCAACATTTCATATGATCATGGAACCAACACTAGATGCCAAATCCAATGTGACATGAAAAAACAGACTGTAAAAAGAACATGGATCGTATGCTGAACAAAACGACCCCACATACCACAGGTAAAAACATAATAATGGTAATGCAGCAATCTTGCCAAACTCAAAAAAGCAGAATGCAAGGTACATGCCTGCGATTGAATTTGTATGGGGATAGAACTCCAGAGGGATCTCTTGCTGCCCATCCAAGGCAATTTGCAACGGCTTCTTTGGAACTCATCGTATTTTTCTGCGTAATTGGATAATCCTTACCAAATCTTTGTCCCTCGGCCGTTAGATCATCTACTTCAGTGAGTATTTTGGCAACATTCTTTCCCACCTTGTAGCTTGACTTGCAATTCTTGGGACAACATTTACTTAGGCATTTGTTTTGGATTTCTTGGGCTCCTTGAGTTAGATTACCTTTTACTTCCTGTGAATAAAAATCATTTAGTTTGATATTTCTTTTTCCCTGTTTTTCTGAATCCTTACAAGGACTAATTAAGCGCACTTTCATTTCAACTTTGATATCGATATAAGAAATTGCATATCTTAATATAAATGAATGAAATTTTTTTGGCCAAATATGAATGATAGTTTTTTTACTGAAAAAGCTGAATGATATTGTTAAAGATTTTGGCTGGGCTTGTTTGGTTTCCTTTTAACAAAACAGCTTTTTTTTATAATTTTAAAAACGAAAAATAAAAAACAAGTTTGAAAAAGGTTTTTGAAAAATAAAAAAATAAAAAATGTTTTGTAAAACAAAAATAATCAAAACATCAGTTTAATATTTTCATTATTTTTCTGTTCAACAAAATTATAATAGAGGCAGAGGATATTACATTTTTATTAGGATTAAAATGTATTTAATATCCTAAAATATTTTATAAGATGCACTTAGCTCGTTAAAATATTTTAGAGCACAATTTTACTCTCAAAAGTGGAAAATGTTCCCCTTCAATTAACAGTCTTCTAACGTTGGTTTTCTCCCTTTCAAAAATAGCTTCCTCCCATCTGAACAACAAAAGTACTCTCTCTCTTTGCTCCCTCCCTCCACAGCTAACCGTCAAGGTCGCCGTCATCGAAGCTGTTTATTTGTGGCTATTGTGGAAGGGTGGGAGGGAGGGAGCAAAGAGAGAGAACTTTTATTGTTCATATGGGATGGAAGCTTTTTTTTTTTTTTTTGGGAGTACATTCCATGCTCATAGTGCTCATGATAACTTGAACCATCTAGACTGATTTTAGACGGTCCATATTGAATTTAAATTTTTTATATATTTCAATTAATTTTGAATTTTAATAGATACAAAATTTAAAATAAATATAATCTTATAACTAACACTTCTTTAAAAAATAAAGTTATTATTGAAAATATTGCATATTAAAAATTTTAAATATAAATCATTCATATGAGATTTTGGATGATCTAGACTGCATTGCAATGATGAGCACACAGTTCTCATTACTGTGATGAGTACTAAATGAGGAACCGTATAAAAACATTATGCTCACAACTATATGTTCTCGATTTGAAGTATTCTTTTAGCTATGTATTTAATAGTATACAAAAGATAATCAAGTGTACATATTTTTCTAATTATATTTATTTCTGCGTACTTTTCTTTTAACTGAAAAATTGGACAGCTTGTAATACGGATATTGATAAATCAAGTTTTTATGTGCGCAATATGCATGCTTTCAAATTAAGTTTTAATTATGCTAATATAAGGTAATGTTCTTTACTTAATTGCGTTCTTAAGAAAGATATCATTTTTATTTTACATCATATACCCGTTAAAATAATTATTTGAAAATAAAAATAAAAAATAAATTAAATCCGTATCATGTAAATCAGATCTAGATGGTCCAGATATGATGAGCTTGGGGTACTCACCACTCTGATGAGTACCAAAACTTGTTCGGTTTGTATACTGTAATAAAATTTCAAATAAATTCAATATAATATGAGTTTCACACCTATCCAAAAAATTTTAAATGTTCTTAACTGGCCTGATTTGAACTAACTCATTTAAATTAAATTATCATAAATTATTGAGCCAACGAATCACTTAATTAACAACATCATTGATGCTAAACATGAAATTATCTAATTCATGTGCAGAAACAGTCAAAGTAAGCAAAAGCACCACATACTAAATAAAGGAAAAAAAAAAGAATAAATGTAAAATGAAGAGTTCGTACCTTTTCAATGTTTTGGATACTTTGGAGCCAAACACCGACTTCAAGTGTTCTTTGCCCCTCTCCAATGCCTTCAACTTCTTCAATTTGTGCTTCGACGTCCTTTTTCATAGCTTCAAGCTTATTCCATTTACTTTCCAGAGATCGTAGATTCTCTTCCAACTCACAAATAAACCCAGTTTCTTGTTTGGCGCAACCACACAAATACTTTGTAACATCCCATATGATTTCTACCACTTGCCCCATATCTGCTTCTCACTTTTGATCTTTCAGAAGATGCTAAGCTCGCAATCATCCAAAATCAAACGGCAAAATGCTAAAGTTAGAATTTTTTTCAATAACTATTTTCCCCTAAAATAAAAGAAAACCACATATACGATGGTTTAGACTTACCTCGTACACCAAGAGATTGCAATATGTTGTGAATTTGCAAGAGACAGTCGATTATGCGAATTTATAGGATTTGAAATGATGATGATGATGATTCCTATAATTCTTTAATTTTGAAAAGTAAATTGAAGCATCTAATTCGTTACTTGATCTTTACTTTTCTTTGATGAGATGAACATTGATTTATTAATTCTTAGTGCTGCTTTGATTTCTTTCTTTTGCTTTTGTCTATTCTCACATGAATGAACAAGTCAGGAATCATCCTACAAAAGATCGCCGTTCTTGAGTTGGGGTTGAAGCAATGAATCTTTTTGTTTTGAAATATGAAAATTACATTTTCTATGGCTTCAAGTTTTGATTAATGTTCTAGTAAAAAAAAAAGTTTTGACTAATGTTCGATTCTTAATTTGAAGTTTTGCGGCTCAGATCAAGTCAAGAATCAGAATTTTTAATTTGCACTGAGATGGACCAATGGTATAGGAGGCATTGTTTTTACTCTTTGCTAATGATATCGAAGGCATTGTTAATTGCTACATGCGCGCATGCACGCACGCACGCGCGAGCGCGTGCACACACACATAATGTACTTCTAAACTATAATTTTCATCGCTATATATTAAGATAAATAATTAAGTTAAAGATATTTCCACTCTATTATTGGTAATGGATTGATAATCATTTGACTCAACTTGGGAGAGGAGAATCATACTACTTTTAGCTTTTAATATAAGACTTAATTAACTAATTTGAAATTATAAAAAAAGTTACTAAATCATTTTGAATTATTTATAGTTATCATTTTTCTCAAGTAATTTGCCTCACTTATAAATTGACATATAATATAATAATACATATAAGAATTTTAGAGGGATCATATAACATATGTTATAATTAAGCAATTTAACAACTTTCTTAATTTCTCCAAATTAGTTAATTATGTCTTATATTAAAAATCGAAGGTAGTAATATATTATTTTTGAAAAAATTACATTTAAATCTTGAAAGAACAAATTAATGACAATTGGATGCTTAAAAAATTTCTAAAAAATATTGAGACATTTGAAAATAGGGTTCCCAATTGCAAATTAAAAGTTATATTTCAAACTTAAATGTCCTATCCCCACCAGTTAAAATTCTTCTATTAGAAATCTAACTTCTAATTGAATATTTCTTACATAATTTGAGAATTAATGTTGATATAAGCCCTATTTAATATGTTTATTGGTTTTTCTCAAATTAGCTGTATCAATACCCTCTCAACAATAATCAAATAGAAGAAGATGGAAGAGAACTAATAAAGATGATTATGGTGTTTTAGAAAAACATATCATATTAACTAATTTAACTAACATCCTTAATCTATTCAAATTAATTAATTATGTCTTATATTAAGGATTGGAGGAGTAGATAACTAGATGCATTTCCATGTATAATCATGGTAACCAATGATAAGCCACATTTTGAAGCATGGTTGGATGACAAGAATCTTCCAAACAAGACAATAAAATAAGGGTGCTTTTGTTGGTTGACTAATATTAATCGGCTATTGAGGAGGTTTATTGAAATTCTCCCTATTATAAAACCGATGAACCAAGCAAAACACGAGACACGCTGCAAAATGTTGTTTAAGAGGGATGAAAAAGGGGCAAATCAATTAAAAGTTAGGAAATTTAACATCTTAATATAAAGATTAAGACAGCCAAAAAATTCGAGAGTTTATCTTTTATTTTGATATGGTAGTGAATTAAACAAACCAGATCACTGAACTCGTGGGTTGACTATTGATCATACTAAAAGGTAAATGAAATTGTTCGGTGATGGTAAATGAAATCTGATGGAAGAAACAGGAGACGTCCCTTTATAACAGTCCTTTTATAAAAGCAAATAGCGAGTGACATATTAGGGAGACTGGCACAATGGAATTTCATCTTTCATGTGACGATCCACATCAAAGTATGCATAAATTATTGGAAACAGGAAACATGGCTGAACTTCAAAAGCAAGAAATTAACTTAGAAACGAAAAAAGAAGGGTGGGAAACAAAATTATCTGACTGTATATTATTAGAAAGACATGATACGGTTTGAAGAGCTTGAACAACATCATCTCAACGGAAACAAGATTCTAGGAAAGAATCTTTATTTTTTGCTATAAAAGGTCTGAGTTTCAATCCAAAAAGAATACCAGTGATCAACATTTTTAGGACCAATATTACCACCTAGGATTTGAAAGATCAATCATATCATTAGCTCAGTTTTCTACTTTCAAAATGAGACAAGCCTATCGAGGTAAGAATCCTCAGAAGAATAATATATGTAATATCACAAAACGTAAATTTTAAACTGATCCTATGCTATACTGTTATACCGTTATACCACGACCAAGATGACCAAAGTCGGCATCCTAAAACCACAATACTAGGAAATGAGAACAATCAATCTCCACAATCACAACATTAGCCTTCGTGACTGAAACTTGCATATTTAAATTCAATTAAACAAAAATGATAACAGAAACTGACAAAATAAAAATTAAAAAAAAATCATATGGGTTCCATGTAGCCATCCAAAGACATGCAATGCATCTAGCAGCACGATACACAAATGCAATGATGGGTTGTCAAGGACCATATCCCTCTGTTTTATTCCCTCTGGTCTTAAATGTAAGACTCATCTGTATAAGATCTGCTTGGTAGTTTAATTTCTTTATTAAAGTGAATCTTATATTAAGAACTGAAGGTAATATGTTAAATATTTACCAGCACATAGTAATATATTCCAGTCAGACAAAACAATACGATTATATATTGATGATCCATTATTTTTTTTATTGAAGTTGAAGCCCTCTTTTGTTGATGAAAACATATTTATGACTTTCCATATTGGGTAAGCAAGCAGTACCAGATCCTGGTTGAAATTTTTTCAATGAATACAAAGAGGCATGATCAGGATATTCAAGTGGAATCCAATATAGTGTTTTCTCTTATTCTTACCTCATATACATCCACTGTAGCTGGAACCGACTGTCTTGATGAGACCTAGTGATGTGGAGTGAGCACTATCAACAAAAGAGAAAACAAAGTTAAGATTAAAGAAACAACGAATCCTTCCCTATTAAAATAGAAATAGGTATGCCTTTATGATACATAAACATCATTTGAAGGTCAATAATCTAATGAGTGGACAATCACAAGACGCTATATAGGTAACAGTAGCAAGCAGTTATAGGGGAGAAAATAAAAGGCCTCTTCAGGAGAAATCTAATTTAACAAAATTATGACAGAATTATTATGGATGGATCCAGAGTTTCCTGAATGTACAATATGATCAAGGCGGAGAAAAGCACTTGAGTGGACTATAAAAGGTCAGTAAAAGCCCACTTAAAACTTTTTGAAGATATAATTTATAGCCACGAAAATATCTTGATTTAAACCTGGTCGTAGACAGCAGCCAGATCTACAAAAAATATTTAGCATCGGTCAAATCCAGTTGGTTGATAACCCTCAAAAAGTTTTCAACTAAATGCAGTAATGCACGTTTAGCAGCCAACTGTTACTTATCCCAAGCCAAATAGTTGCAAAAATTTATGAAAAATCAAATCAGAGTTATTTAGAGTTGAGTAGTGGTTCCCTACTTTATAGAAGATCATCAACTTTGGCAAAGATTCATTGCTACACGTAGGCATGTTGTGATACTAGCTTATTTTTCTCATTGTCGTGGGGAGAAAAAGAAAATACATGTCTCAAATCTAGTTTTAGTGTGATCTTGTTTAAATAAATGTCAACTGTGCTCCAAATTTACTACTGCCAGTTACTAATTTTAAGTGGTAAGACCAGAATCACTTTCATAACTTATAGAGACCACCTGCCATGATGTACTATTCCTTTAGTGCTTTTATTTGTGCGGTTAAATCTGCATATTCTATGTACGGGTTTTTGTTTGAGAAGAAATTAAATTGCAATACCCATTACTTTTTTGGGAAAATCACAAAACAAGACCATAGAATTTGAAAAATTGCAGACAAGGACCTGTTCATAAAATTGTTGTCAAAACCCTATTAATATTGTAACGGGTCCATATTTGCAATTTTTCAAATTTTATGGTTTTTTTTTTTTGCAATTTTCCCTACTTTCTTTCTTTCTTAATTTTTCTTTATGTTGGCTTGGTCCTTGATCTTCAGAAGGGCTTATTTGAATATCCTGAGGCTGTTGTAAATGTTTGTTAGTCTCTACAATGATCATTATTAGTCGTACGCATTATTTAGTTGTTGTCTCAGAATTTGTTGCGGATCTGTTCTTTGCCATCAACGATCCGTTTGCTAATTCATATATAGTCAGTTTTCTATCATGTGTTAAGAGTAAAGCTACAATTTCATATTACGATTAAAATTTAGATTAAATATTTTCATTGTTATTGTAATTAAATAAAATCACATTATTATATTATGCAAAACATTAATAATTTCTTTCAAAAAAACAGTTAGATGCAAGGAAGGTTTTTTGTACGGAACATGCATCGAATATCATATTTCCTAGCAGCTAAGTGATGTTTTTATGGGGAAAAAAACCAAATATGATCCATCAACTTTGCTGATTTACTTGTTCCTGAACTATTATGCAGAGAAGGATTTGGGTTTTACTGTTGCAGCGGGATATTCAAGTGATGTATCAAAACAACGCTGTAAGCAAAAGCTTGACATATATCACTTGAAAATCCTGAACTCATTTATTTTCATTTAGTTTATTTTTTTCTAATTTTTGGATCGATTTCATCCTCATGATTTTGTCAAAGTTCCGGAAGTTAAAGCAGCAATTTATTAAAATCAAACCAGGCATTTCAATCTAATTATGATGAAATCACTCATTT